CGCCCCCCGTTGTAGCTACCTGCCTGGGTATAAATTTGGACCCAGATAATGTAGAGGTTATCAGTAGTCTGAGGATTGCCTTAGCTTTGCTATGTGCATGAAACGCAGCGTTACAACAATGACCTAGCCGGCTGTATCTATTCTCTTCTGCCTTTGTATTACTATTATTCTGAACAAAAATTGAGCATATTTATGAGAAGTGGGCTACATTTCTGCTTAGGGACACAAGCTGTAGGATAGTTAACTGAAAGAAATGTTCTGGGTTTAAAGACATGTTTATTGTTATCACAGATTTTGCGTTGGGCTAGTAGGATGAAAGATTATGTTTGCATTCATAACAAAAATACTGGCGCCTGATTGACTGATTGGATGTCACCGGATCGTCAACGAATCTTCACTGGAATCGACGCCCATCTTCTCGAACGACCACTGGACTTTTACCACCTGACACAGCACATACACATACTGCAGTACTTTGCACATACACTTGTCATAGATCGCCTTTAGCATTTCCACACTTGAAAGTGTTCTTGTACGTGATGTGATAGTCTTATCTTCTTTCTTCTGTTTTGGTCACCTTACAGGTGATGATTGTAAACTTTAGTGGTAGTGTTAGTTTTCTTGTCTTCTTGCCAAATTGTGTCTGTGTGTATGTGTGAGTTTTCTCTTCTTTCGTGCTGTTTACGTCACCTTACAACTGGTGATTGTTTAGTTTGCTGGCCTTGCCAATTTTGTCGATGTGTTAGTTCTAGAACATTCATCTGCCTGCATTAATCGTTTTTATATTTCGTGTTTTTGCCTCCCCTTCCTCAATGCCCTGATGATACCCAATGGGTGAAATATTGGCAAAGTTATTTACACTGTATTTATCTATATGGTGCAGCTGAGAGCCTGTTGCCAGAATGGCGGTATTTTCAAGAACAAAAATACTATCTAAAAAATACTCATGTTCCCATCTAATGTCCCCTGTTTTGTGTGACCATTCTCCACTAGTTTTGCACTTCACTTCCAAGATCGTGACATTGCTTTCTTGCCCAGTGATGTGATATCCTGGGTTGCATTCGAAGTTTGTGGCACCACTGCGAAATGCATATCTGTAGGACTGCTTGCGTGGAAACAGCGATGTGTTTCCATTGAAGTGCGATGTAGATGGTACAGGGCATTCTACAGCTGTATCATAGCACCAAGAGTCAAACAATGGATGAGCAAGTAAATACATTGCAACGGAAGGTGAACTACTTCATGAAGTTATGTTATATATATATATATCTTATTGAATGTGGCTGATCTAAACGTTCGAGTTCGAGCTTCCTGGCGGCTGACCGACACTTGTCTGACTCGACACTGGTCTCTGGGAAACAAACAAATGCACAACCGTCCATATGCCAACCCTGCAAGAAGACACTACTCCTCGCTCAGTTCACAGTGTGTCAGTGACTTCACGCCTCACCAGGAGTGCCTGAGAAGACGAATGAATACTTTCCTCCAGGACTCTTTCATTGGGCAGTGCTCTCCCAGCGACAACATCACTGGGGATGTCAACGTTCAGTGACACACCGGTTCTATCTCGACAAACACCTTCAAAGTACCAGTTCACAACACCGTCACTTCCGACAATCGTGTTGCACACTCGCAACATCGACCACAATCACTAAAATGTTCCAACTTTGGGGGTAATGTATATCCTTCAAACATGCGAGCTCTAGCTTCTTGCCTGTCAACTGATGGACTCACGACTGGCGCGTCAAAATGCTGGTCCATCCACTCTGGAACCCTGCAAGACTCTATGGAAGTGTGGCCTATAGCACATCCCTCTAAGCTTTTGCTCTAGGGAAACTCCAACGAGTTCAGAACCATGCCATCCGCGCTGTGTTCAGCCTACCACCCACATATTCGGTAAGCCACCAAAGGGAGAGCATATCCCTCCGCAAAATCGAGGAGACACAACACCACCGACTCCTCGATCTCATCTGGCGCGGCCTGAACGGCCAATGTAATGCAGCGGTTTCAAAGCAGCTGACGCCCGCAACCACGGCCATAACTCGACATCAAGCCAACGCCGGGCTCATTCTCCCACTGGCCAGGACGAATACAGGCACTCGCCGACCGTTCTTCCGTGGACCTGCGCTGTGGAACACTCTGCCAGCCAGTGTACGTTCCTGCAAAGCCGTGGCCGATTTCGCAGCAGCCGTGTACCCGTACACTCTCAGGCCATAAACGTTTTTAAAGAAGAGAAACAGTGACATGCACACACACACACACACACACACGCACACACACACGGCCAGTATGTATAGGCATAATAACGAACGGTCTTTTTCTGTTAGCTGTGTTTGTCCAATTATTATTATTATTACTTGCATGTACGCGTTGGAGTCAACCATGCAAGCATGATCCACAACTTCGCTTATGCTGAACATGATAAACAGGACTATGACAGGGGAAAAAATGAGCTAGAACGATGATAATAATAATTATGATACTTATATTATTATATACAATGTAGCTCATGGGTATTGAAGATATGTCATTTATGAATATGTCCATAATATGAATATTGCAGCCTGAGTGATAATGATAGTGCTATTTCCTGAGTTTGACTGTTTCAGGATCTGTGGGAATATCACAATGCACAGACCCTCATGCATAGATCTCGCCATGCTGGTCTGTCATGGGCAATGGCTCCCAGGCTCTGCAGAGCGTCTACTATTGAACAATCCAGCATTGGCTTGGCGCAGATCTCCCACCATAAAAACTACAGCCGCGAACCACGTAGTGGAAAGCTACAAAAGATGGCCAACCCATTTTCACATGTACAGACAATTTGCAAAAACGTTCCGAACATTCAGGGAGAAGACATTACTTGCATGACACATTGGCAGAACGAACAAGGCAGACTCGAACATTCCAAGATTCTGCAGCCGTTGCGTTTCAGGTGTTGGGTGGCAGCTCCGTTACTGAGGCCGTATAAGTCGTCGAGCTCGGCTAGCCGCCGCCAACTAGTCAGCGCAACCTCGGCCACGCGCTCGCATTAGCTCCATGCCCGCGTTGACGGAGCTCCGGGTGACCAACAAGCCGAACAGCTGCAAGTCGCGACTCCACAATGACACTGGCCGTCCGCGTGCTCTAACACTCCGCTCCACTCGTACTCCCTCTTTAGCCGTTTCGCTGCTCGTCAAGCCCTGCAGGTAACTTGATTTCTTGAAGGGTACAGACGTCTATGCCGTAGAAAGAGAGGTACCGACACAAGCCAGTTCCTCTTGACGGCCGACATGAGGCCCCGCACATTGAAAATTCCGACAGCAAATTTTTCTTTTCCTCCGTAAAGCGTTCGTTCATCAGCTCGTACCATTGATTCCCGTCGCATCGTCCCGTCACTAATGTCCAATGAAAACTGCTCCCCAGTTGCGCGAGGAGACTACATTTCCTCCGGTGAGCGAGGAAGAAGAGCGGAGTTACCCAACTCAACCAAACTAAAAAACTGTCCAAAAAAACTGTCAAAAAAAAAAAAAACTGTCCAATACATGAGATAAAACGTCTTTCTTGTTTTTTTTTATGTAGCCTCTTCCAGCATGGTAAACGACAGTACCATGGCCTTTTCAGAATTTCATTGTACATATTTGTAGTACCTCCCGGGATCAGTATTTCCACTTGAAATAATATCCACCCCAATGCCTCATTCTTAGCATTCTTTTATTCGCTTCCATGTAATTGGGCTGATTGCCCGTTTGGTATTGCGAATTCAAATAAAAAACAACAACAACAAACTCCAAACATCGTGTATTACACATCCTTGGTCCCAATGGTCTGCTTAAAACCTCGAGACCATGGGCCTTTTGGAAGTTCCTATCTACCTACATTTATATTTGAAATGTTTGGAGTACTTTGGGCCCACCACTGAGACAACACGAGAAGGACACCCGCCTATCGCTGTACGTCTGGGCCAAGAAGGATGAAGGGAAGGCATGAAGCATTCAATGAGCGGTACACCGCAGAGCAATGGCCTACAGCAACAACAACAAAAGGTGCAATCAGTGCAATTGGCAATCGCGCAAGCACACAAGCACCTCTCTCTCAAGAGAGGAGTAAGCTTGTGTCAAAGTGTCGCCACGAGAATATGTAGCACCTTCGGAACTTCAAACCACCCACAGCCATCACCTAATTAAGTAAGAGACCACCAGGTCCAGTGGTTGTCACTTTCCACCACTGCTGTCATTCGCACTTTTCGATTTGCCCCTTGCTGCAGTCATTTACGCTTTGCACTGCCGCCATTCACAACTTTTGGATTTTCACCGTGATGCAGCCATTTACACTTTTCTTTGTGGGTATATATGTAACCGTTAGGACTCTGCCACAGTCAGGGCTCTCATAGCAGTCAGTGCCCCTAATACCAGTCATACAGTCATAAATCCTCTAATACCAGTCACGAGTCACAAACAAGTCACACACACTGGGAAAGCCAAAAACAAATGATCAACTTTGATGTATGACATGGGCAGGTTGCCATTTGAAAGTATGGACAACGAACGCGTTCAAAAGTATGCTTTTCAGAATACATGCATGTATGGCGTGCAAGTAGTACTGCTTTATGTGTCCAATTATTAAAAATTAATTAGACACATAAATCAGTATTACTTGCAGTACTACTTCAGACTCTGTGCACGCATGATCGCAAAGAGGGCAAGTCGCGGCATTCTGTGAGTGGTTTGTGGGCACCACAACTGGTTTCTCAAAAGACGCAAACTGTGTGTGGTGTGTGAGTGGTTTTGACTGTATGACTGACTTTGGGGGCGGTGACTGCTACGCGGCACGTGACTGCTGCCTGAGTCCTACATATAAACCAACACTGATCCAGATTTACTCATTACCGTCGGCTGATGATCGCTTAGTGCGTGAAACTCAGAGTTAAAACACTTTCTCTGTCCTCTTATTGTTAGTATGGTAATTATAAATGTTTTGCAATTTTAGATTATTAGGCCAGAGGAAAAATCCGAGCTTACCTGAACAAGATGGGATTGGTTTCGACCATTGTCCGTCAACTCTGCACTGCACAGTCTCTTGTGTCTTCATCTGGCTTGTTGAGTTTGTTACATAATAGCCAGCTGAACATGTAAAGGTCACACTGTCTGCAAATGGAACACGGGCAAAATAGTTGCTGATCCAACGTCTTTCAGAGGATGACCATTTTTGTGAGGTACGAAGCAACCAACGAGTGTAAGAACTGCGGACTGTTCCGTGCTTGATACTTTTGCGCCCGTCTGTGAAAGGTGCTAGGCAAACCACTCCTGGAATATACAAAATGGAAACATTCGAAGAATAAAAATAGCCGTAAATAACACCATTGAAAAGTAAGTAAATGATCGTGTCCGATCCCGAAGGGAACTCACGACACCAGCTAACACCTGGTAAACCCTAGTGGCAGGTGCAGCGCCTGTCGGAGGGTTGTGAGGGGATGCGTCTCACAACCACTGGCACAAATGCCGAGAAACCTCTTTAGCCACATCCATGTACCCCTTGTGCCCGACCAAACCCTTTCCCAAAGATGCTGTTATGAACCCTTTGAGATTCTCTAAATTGTCAGGATCGAACGACCACACGGCGCGAGGACAACTCTTTTCTCTTCCAAGGTATATTTCACTTCATCGAATAATTAATAACTAACACTAAGGCTGTGTTTACATGAAGCGTTTCAACCCGGGTTGAGTTCGACCCGGGTCAGATTTCAACCCGCCATGTGCACAAAGTGAATGGCGCGTTTACATGACGCATTGCGCTTGACCCGGGTTGAAATTTCGCCCCGGGTTGATTTCAACCCTCCCCCCAAGGGGAGGGTTGAAATCAACCCGGGTCAAGAAAATCGTACAAACGTACTTCTGTGCGTATCTCGCGCCAGGTTTGAACAGCACTGCAGATGCAAATTTCGCGCGAACGGATTCACGTGACCATACAGGACTGTAGAAGTGGACTTTTGGCGGCATATCAGTATTTGACCCGGGTCAACTGTCTTCATGTAAACGCTCACCTCTTTTGTCTATCGTACAGACTTTCAACCCGGGCTGAACTCCACCCGGGTTGAAATTTCTCATGTAAACACAGCCTAATAACACCAGCTATTTATAGCATGCAAAAACAGCGTACATGCAAAAACATACGCATATAAAACGGGACATGACAGCGTATACAGCAAAACACACACAGCGCATATATTTATATTATTATTTATTCTTCTTTTACTAGGGAATTCCCAACAGGCGTCAGCTCCTTTTTACAGGGAACCCTAGGTATAATTTGATGGATGAGCGAAATTCAGCTGGTGAACTAGACATGCGGCAAGCCGGTGGAAGTGTATTCCACCTGGCAGCGCCCAAATAAGAAATTGCACTAAAGCCATATCGGGTGTTAGCGGGGGGCAGAACAAGAGCAGCAGAGACTTGGCCACGGGTGGTGGCTGCAGTGCGAGCACCATGGGCGCGCAAGGTAAAGCGGTCTCGCAGAAGAGGACTAGCAAGTCCATTCAGGCAGCGGTAAAAAAATACATAGGTTTTGAAGTTGAGGCGTTTCTCAAGGGCGTACAAGTTAGTATGACTGTATAGAAGAGTGGTGGGAGTCATTCTATCCAACGAAAATATTCTCTTTAATGCTACGCGGCTGGCAGTAAGAAGCTTGTCATATAGGGTTTGTGATAAGCAATGAATATATGCAGTGCTGCCAAACTCAAATGTGGACTGAATGATCGATAAATAGAAAAGTCGTTTGGCAAAAATGCTGATATTCTGCTTTGCATGGACAAATGCTCCGACCTTCCTATTGACAGTTGCACATACTGCATCCACTTGGGTTGAGAAAGACAGATAGCGTATGCCATGCAGCAACATCAGCGGTACGGCGGAGTCGAGATACAACATTGCAACGAATACAATGCCATAAGCGCGAAGCAGGGAGTCGTAAAATACCGGGAGGCGACACGCCACACATTTCACGATCCGAGGATTGCCGCACTCGACCCGCGAAATTTGAAGCGTGATTGAAACGTCGTCGTCATCTTCTTTTTATCAATTGTTTTTGGTATGCTTCGAGGCCTATTCTGGATCTCCAGAGCGAAAGCTGGTTGTTTCTGATACGTACCACGCATTACCTTAGGTTGAGCCGTGGCTTTTAATTTTTTTTGGGAAGTTCACTGCTTTGGAGACGACGGAATGTCAAGGTAAGTTATTCACGAAATGTACTCAAATTTGAATTGAGTAAGTGCGAATGACAGCCTGTTTTCGGAATAGTTCTCCACTAAACACACAATGCCCATGGCCCCTTCGTGTTGTCCAAGTTCCATTCTCGGTTTGTGTGAAGTTTCGAGATGAAGATCGATGATGAACTCACCTTTCCATGGAAGGGAAGTAAAGTAGCATATCAAACAGAATCCATGCAGCATTTGATGCCACTATCCTCATTCTTCTGCATTCAAAGTGTTTCACATTATGGTCCATGAACTACACACAATATTTGTCATTTCTTAACTGTTCATAGCTGTTCATACTTGAAGTAACTGTGTTCTGAACACATTGCCTTCAGGAAACGTAAGGCCGAGTCGACTGACCGACTGAGCAAAGTTCTTTGCGACGAAAGTCACACTATCGGCAAATGCACTCAAGGCGAATACCCTGTATACTGCTTGATCCACGTATCACAGAAGCATACACACACACGCACGCACACACATACCATGCATAAGCCCGTCGCAAGAGAAGAACGCAAGTCTGCAAATGCACTGGATGTGCACCCACAGATTTTCTCTTATAGCAACGATAGCGAACAAGATCTGAATGAGACAGATCAAGACTTGCACCAGATAACTGTATAATCCACACAACTGGCAAAGCCATGTGAATCGACCACCAATGCACAACACACATACACCTTTGGACTTTTGGATGCCCATTGCTCCGTGCAATGATAGCATCAGGAGTTGCAGTAATTCCTGTGGCGAGTTAGATCATTGGGCCGACGCTGAAGTCCCTGCCACAGCCGCAAATGAACACTCTAGGCTTTGGCACAGCCGCACACATACACACACACACACACACACACACACACACACACACACACACACACATACACACACATGCATGCTCGTGCAACATTCACATGTCACTGCTTCAGTTGTTTTTAGCTGAGTCATATTGTGTCTTATACAGATCTTCACTTTGGGAAAAGCTGTTGAGATGCTGGAGAGCACTTGTTGCCATGCTTGCGAAATGCCAGCACTATTGCATGCCTTCAGCTGGGCACACTTCCTGGCGTAGCAGATTTCCAAAACCTGATGCCTTGTGTAACTGTGTCCTGATAACATGCAGGAATGACTCCATCGCCTCAGTAACACTCGCCTGTCTCATTGTCAGCAGTTCGCAAATTCCATGGATTATTTCACCTTCCATAGGCCTGTACACTATGGTGGCACTGCCACTCTTACATGGATCTGCACATAGGCAAAGCAAGGGTTGAGGGCGGAGGTTTACATACAATGTCAACAATTTACATACATGTACTAGGTAAACACGTAATTTTCAGGACATGAATAAAAATCCTGTCACAGGTTCAACACTGTCACATGTCATAGTGAACAGACAATGCACCGTGGGCAGACTCCCATTTTTCGGGTGAGTTTGGGGCGCTTAGTTTGCTACAGATTATACATTCGTGTTCACAAAGACAAGACGATACCAAAAAATGCAGACGAGAGAATCTCACCAGTAGTCCACAGCTGAACATCTCCACAACTCAGGTCACCAAGTGGATACGTGGCGTCATCTACATCTTCCACGGTGGACTCATCACTTTGGCAGGCATCTCTGTCAAGCTCCATCATCCTTTACCCCGTCAAGGCACAAACTTAGAATCACCAAATCAACTGCTGACACTCGGACGATTCCTTGGGAGCAGGATTATTTTTTTGATTTTTGGGACCAAACAGCGAACGCGTCCTTTGTGCATGACCTGCGCCGCTTTGACCTCATGGGGATTCTATATTTTCCCTCAGCACTCGTGCCCGAGCTGAGTCAATCATCCGACGCGGTTGTGCATCTCGTGTCGCCTCCCGGTATTTTACGACTCCCTGGCGCGAAGGCCTTTCCCACTTGAGAACTGGAGGTTTGTAAGGGCCTGGTCAGACTGCGGCAAATTTTGGTTGCCTGACGAAAAAAGAACAACTTCCAGAATTTGAATCGCGATCACACTACATATGTGGGGAGAATGAAAATTCAAATTTCATTTCAAGCGTCAAGTGGTAATCTCCACGAACGACGTCAAATTCCTTCGCCTTGGGGATCGCCAACACCTTCAGTGCAATCCTTGCAACCATCCTTATGAGTTTTGTTGTTGTCCGTGGCCAATTCGCTCCTCGATATCGAGATGAAAAATCAGTGATTATCAGCGTCAAATCCTGTTTGGAGCGGAAAAGCGTGGTCCATTCTTGCTTTTTTTGGAGCGTCAACTCTTGCTTTTGCCGCTCTGGCGGCAAGTTACTATGGAGATTCGGATTATAATCCCAGGATTATTTCGTTTTTGCCGCAGTCTGACCAGGCCCTAACAGATGGCATACTTTTTCGAAACTTATGCTTTTCTCAAAAAACAAGTGCAAGTTGCTGAAATCCTTTCCATATTCTCAGGAAAAGGTCCAAAGTTGCTAACATTGCAACTTAGAATGGGAGGGTTCTTGTGCGTACAAATGATGCCAAAACCACCAAAAAAGTAGCAGAAATGGCAGAAGTGCAGCGACATCAAACTCTCTAAGTATATTCTTATTGTTATTATTATAAATTCAACATCTCCTGGCTCGTCAGAAGACTGCCAATATACATGAGAAGTAGGGTGGTAGCCAACCACTGCGAACTGAATAATAAGGAGAGAAACAAAAAGAGTACTGCAAGATGAGGCATGACGAAAATGGTGAGATTATTTAGGACGAAGAAGCTGAAGCTTGAATTCCTTAATGACTGTGCATGCTTTAAGGCTAGTTGGCAGGGAAGACCAGAGAGTGCACGCAGAGAAGATAAGAGATTTCAGAAACAGGGAGGTATTGGCACGGGGTAATGAGAAGGAATGACGTGTTGATCTGGTGGACGCAAACCAGTTATACTTAGCAAAGTGTTTGGGAGCCAGGTCTAATAAGATCATGTGTACAAGGATGCAAAGATGTTGCTGGTGTCGCTCTAAGAGGGGAGATACTGAAGCTAAACTGTAGAGACGTTGGGAGGAAAATGTTTGATTTTTACGAAACAGGATTTTTAGAAGCAGACGCTGGTGTATTTCCAGAGTTTGAACAAGGGCCTGACACAGAGGTAGAATATACGACGTAAAGAACAATTTTCGGCAATGGTCATTTAAATGGTGGCCCGCCCCTTCCTGTTGTGACTATGGACAGCTTTACGCAGTGCAAATAGCCTATTGCACGCACCTTCCATCATTAAGTGGTAATGTACATAATGTTACTACCGTTGATCTATTGTGTCTCTGAAATGAGGTTGACCCAGGCACCTCTCGTATCGCAATAGTGGTCTTTGAACAACCCACTGTGACTGCCTGGTTAATAATACCATTGATTGTTTCATAATGCCATCATGAAACAATGACATGAAACATTGTATATTTTGATTCAGGAACTCATTTTGCCTGATCATTAGCGAGTCGTTATCACGTAGTGCAAAATGGAAACCGTATCACACTATAGGACCAAAAAGGGGCTGCTGTGCACGCCTTATTGACCACAATCGCAAAAAGCGCACATATGGTGATTGTGCTGTGAGACGGATAATAATGATGCCAAAATCATGGCAGTTCAAGTGCAGATGAATCATCTCTTCACAATGTAAAACCGACTCCGTAAACAACCCCACAGCCTCGTCTGTCTACTTCCATATACTGCCTCATGAAGCACCTAACCACGGCTACAAAACAACGAATATCCGAACTCGTGAGCCAAGCACCTCCTGCAACAATACCAGCACAAAAAGCCGCTACCCTCAATGAATTCTTCATTTCACAGAGCACGCTGTCCGTGGGCTATGCGGATAAGCAAACTCCATCCATCAACACCACCCCTGCCATCCTGAGCCCCTTCTAGAAATCTCTACTTCTCAAGCTGAGGTCGAAGCACTTCTTATTATATTTTATATATTATTATTTATTCTTCTTTTACTAGGGAATTCCCAACAGGCGTCAGCGCCTTTTTACAGGGAACCCTAGGTATAATTTGATGGATGAGCGAAATTCAGCTGGTGAACTTCTTCGCGGAGTTGTCACCACCAAGAGTCCAGGGTTCCACTCTACACCAAAACTGCATACTAAAAGAAGCAACGTAAGTGCTGGCACCGTCGTTACCGTCCCTCATTAACCTATCATTCCAACCCGGAGAAATCCCCCAGTATATAATGTACTCTTCATTGTGTACTATGGTCGCACTGGCTCTATCCCTTATCTCCTAAGCTACCATCCCTCCCTCACCCCTCCCTCCCGGTGCGTCTGCCCAGTGTATTGGCAAAATTGCTAAAACAACTAAACGGAGCAGTGGAATCCCTGCCGCATTTAAAGCCTGTTAATCAGCACACAAACTAGCGCCTTTATTACTATGGGAGAAGTCCATGCTGGTGTCACATGTGGGGTTGATATATTGCAAGCCAAACAGAATGCAATTCACATGTCAGTGTACAAAAAACATTCCATCTCAAAGAACGTAGGTGGTACTGGTTCTAGACGTAGCTGCGCTCCAGAAACTCAATTTCTCAAAACTACTTGTATGTCAATTTAGTGGATTTGCGTCGTATTGGCGGGTCCATAAATAGCACTTACTTGAACAAGATGGCACAGGTGATGTCCATTGACCGCCATTTCCACAAGTGATATTCTTATGCGAGGTAGATTGTGATTGACCGGTAATGTAGTAACCAGCATCACATTGTACATTCACTGTTATTCCGCGGAGAACAGTAGTTCCAGGGTAGACCACTCTTAATCGAAGAATGTGATGTGGAACAGTGCAATATATCTCTGAAAGGAAATGTACCAAACGCTATTATTAATACACACACACTGTCGTCTCTACGTATAGAGCGACTGCCATTGAAATCATAGGGGATTGCGTGGACGGCTTTTGAGGACTTTAGACAGTATGTTATGCATTCTCTCATGGATGCGCTTTGTCAGGAGTTCACACAACTTGTCAGGATTTGTCTTCTCAGTCAAGGTTAAGGTCAAGGTCAAGGTAGGCGGAAAGACGTGGCCCGTTAGCATGCTGGTATCGCAAGACAGCCAGCTTTTCTTCTTTTTATAAACTTTTTTGTTAAGCCTCTTATACGGGCAACCACAGAACACGATTTCACTGGCCTGACGCAACAACTAAAGAAAAGCTAAATATTGCGACAGAGCTTTCGGCCATATTTCCGATTTTTCGCATTCCCAACTCGTCACAACAACACGCTCTCAGCCGAACCATACAGACAAGTACATGTACTTTCCAGTGGCATCATTATTCCGCGTAAGATTTGCGTCACCTGTGTGGTGTGTTACTCCACCAATGAGGGCGTACAATAGTCCTTCTCGCTGTTCTCACATTCACGATTTTAGCAGCTTGCATATGCCATTGTTCTATGTGGAAAATGCGCACTTACACCATTTCTGCTGTACAAGAATGATCATTCCTTTACACTCCATTATCATCCCCTACTGATGAGCTCCAGCAGGGAGCGAAACAGCTGTCTAGAGGCGTGAAAAAATATTATCTCCCAACGGAAGAGTCCTTGCTGGTGTCGGTATGGTTCGGCTGACAGCGCGTGCTTGTGACGAGTTGGGAATGAAAAACAAACAAACAAAAAAACAAACAAAAAAAACAACAATATGTTTAAGGAAATGAAACTTTACCATCTGCACACAATGACAACTGCAGTTAAGATAGTCTCTGTTGATCAGTCTGTATCCGTTACCCATATAGGCTAGTTGCCATCAAGGCGGGCATGGGCGACAGGAACATCTGGAGAGGCGTCATCCATCCCCCTATGCTAGGGAAATGGTAAGCGGGCCACCCGCAGACACATGATAATAGCACGCAGTATCAGTCAGCTTTTCTTGGGGTGCTGTGAGTGGGCTGGCGTGTTAGCATCCATAGATCGCACTGCCATGTTTGCATTTTCCATGCACCGTTATGTTAGTTCTTTGGTTCTATTGGCATATCTTTTTTTGGTATGGTATGGTATTTCCAATACAAGCCTATCTGTGCTCGCGTGTAAGCAGCAGTCATCGGAGTTTGAGACCACAATCGGCACCCCACAGGGCGACTGCCTATCTCCAGTTCTTTTTGTCATTTACTTGGAATCAGCGCTACGTGATCTCAGGGCCACTTTACCTCCCAGGCCGCCAGCTGATGAACTCTTGCCTGGGGAAGTTATCTATGCAGATGATACGGATTTTCTGAGCAGCTCGCGGACATGGTTGGACAGTATCAGCCCGAGCATGAATGAGGTCCTCAGAGAAGGGGATCGTCTAGCGGAAGTCTGGAGAAAGACACGTAAGCTTGGGTCACTTCTGGGTAATGAACAAGACGTGACGAGCAAGAAGCAGCTCGCAACAGTAGCTTTCAGGTCACTCTCTGTTGTCTGGTGTCGACGAGCGTTTATTAGTGAGAAGCTGCGCTTGAGGCTCTATCAGGCGTTTGCCGTACCAGTACTGACCTACAACGGCGGAACATGGGGCCTGACGGTGGCTTTGGAGCAGAGTCTCTATTCCTTCCACCGTCAGCAACTGCGATCACTCCTTGGCATTAGTTGGCCTCAGAAGATCACGAATGTCTCTTTGTACGCCAGGTGCAAAGCTGAGCCAATCACCAACATTCTCAAGCGTCTGCGGTGGCAACTCTTAGGTCACATTCTTTGCTTGCCGGAGGACACCCCAGCATCACTGGCAACGGCGGCGCACGATGAGAAGGCCTGGCGAGGACGCCCACGTGTCACATTTGTCACGAAGCTGTTGGAAGACCTGGCGAAAACGAATAATGGAGGGCTTGCGTCACTTGGTGACTTGCAGCGCCTCCGGATCCTTGCAAGTGACCGTGCAGGGTGATAATAATCTTTATTAAAGGATCTCCCAGAGGCGATGGCCTGTCGAGGGGATCTCCTGATGCAAATCATGCAATAGAAATAAACAGTGAGGAAAACTACACGTGTTACAGTATATGCTACATAAATTAGCAATAAACACAGGGCTGGGTTGTTAAAAAATAAAACAATTAATTTAAATGTCAAGGGATATACCACTACAGTCTAATTTAAACCTTTTCACGTGCAAGCGATATTGCTGCTGAAATTTAGAAAGTGAATCTTGGGATGTCAGCCTTGGTGGAAGGCAGTTCCACAGCTTTCCGATCTTATGCAGAAAGAGAGAGGAAGAGATGCGGCCATGAGAATTGAAAATCAGTTTGTTTGGTCGGCGTGCGCTAGAAGAGATATTGATGTCAAAGCGGGATAGATAATCTGGGTGCCAATGGATATACTTGAACAAAACGGTGATGGAAATGTAAGTGCGTCGGAAGTGAAGGGATTCCAAATTCCACAGCCTATTTAAATTATTCTTCGATTCATAGCGATCAAAATCAATCTTCGCAGACCGCAGCAGGCATCTGCAGATCTTTGCTTGTAAAATGTCAATCGATTCTAGCTGGCTAGCAGTAAGTCTGAAGCACCAGACAGGGATAGCGTACTCTACTGTGGGTCGTACATATGACTTGTAGAGTAGGGCAATATGTGCATGCGATAGATGACGGCCCATAAAGCATAACAAATTTACACGTTGGCGAAACTTTTTGAACACAGTAGTGAAATGGTCTTGGAATTTAAGATTAGTGCTGATCTCAACGCCTAGATGGATTACGGTACTTTTAACATTGAGTGGTACGTTGTCCATTTGGACAGACGAAGAGGGTGGAGGAGCATAGTTGGAGAACATGGTGGTCTTGGCCGCAGAAAACTCCCCGTGAATGCCTCTAGCCCAGCGCTGGCAGCTTGTTAAATCCAACTGGAAATTGGCCAGATTCTCACCAACAGGTAAACCGATGTTATGAGTGTTGAGCAGTGTAACATCATCAGCAAATAGATAAGGGGCGCTGTGGGTCAATGTGTCGGGAAGGGTATTGATGTAGATTAAAAACAGCAGGGGTGCAAGATGTGGGCCTTGAGGGACACCACAATTCAAAAGATATTGGGGAGAGATCGTCTCCTTAATCTTGACAGCTATCGTTCTCTGATTGAGGTAGCATTCAAACCATTTCACTGAGTTTCGAGTCATAAAAGTACTCAGCCTCTCAATCAGGGTTGGATGATGAACCTTATCGAAGGCTTTCCTGAAGTCAAGAAATGCACAATCATATCTGTTGTGTTTGTCCGAGACACGAGCCATCTGGTGAGTAAGCAGGATAAGTTGGTCCGTTGCTGATCGCTGTGGAACATATGCAAATTGGGACGGTGATATTAATTTGTTGCGATGCAGGAAGCTGCTGAGACTCAGTGCTATCCGGTATTCGAAAAGGCGACTGACGGGATGCAGCAGTGAAATAGGACGATAATTTGTTGGTGAAGAGGCACTTCCTTTGCCTTTATATAATGGGGTAACAGAGGCCGATTTCCAGGAATTGGGGAAGCACGAAGTAGATAAGCTTAAGTTAAACAGGAATGAGAGGGATTCACACAGTAAATCTGCCATTGAGCGTAGTATCGGTATCATGTAATTTGCTGAGGTGGATTTTCGGGGGGATAGGTGTGTTAGGTCGAGAGGACTCTGTGCTGTCGTATGTTCCTCTTGACTGGATTACACAGAACAGATATATATGATGTTTTTTTGATTTATGTTTTTGGCAGAGCATTCTATTTCCGGCATATGCGAATATGTGGGTTGCCATTGTGCGGCTGACATTGCCGCGGAAATGCAGATAATAATAATGTATAATGGTATTGATCTATTTGAATTTGGTATCTCAACAGTACAATGTACAACTTGGGAAGATCCCCTTCCTTCTCTCCGCGTGGTCGCGGCTTCTTTTTCAAGTAGGGGTGGAATGTTAGGTTCACGTATCCATGTGTGCACGCACTCACCCACCAATGACCTCTTCCCCCCCCCTCACGTATGCACACAGGCACTCATACACACATTACTGCATGCGTCCTTTCCCATTCCCGCTTCACGAATCGTTCCCCTGGGATGTCCCCAAGTACGCAGACTCTGGTCTGCGCCGCTGTCAGACGAAAGGTGCTAGCGCTTCTCTGCCGCCGATGCGTGCAGGTCGTCGCTTCCGTCCGTCATCGCCATCACCGCGCTGGCCGTCTGCGTGATGGAGTGGAACGATTCGTGGTGCTGATTTTGGTGAAAAAGTTGAAATCACTTCCTAAGGTATAATTTCTTCAGTCGATGGCTCAAATAGCACTTACGTGAACAAGATGGCACAGATGGTGTCCATTTACCGCCATTTCCACACGTGATGTCCTTCCGCGGGGTAGATTGTGATTGACCGGTAATGTAGTAACCAGCATCACATTGTACATTCACTACTATTCCGTAGTGAACAGTAGATCCAGGGTTGGTCACTCTTAATCCACCAGTCTGCCTTGGAACGGTGCAATGTATGTCTGAAAGGAAACGTACAGAACGCTTTGTTCATACTCACTCACAGTTGTCTAGAGGTTTAGAGCGAATAACGCTGAAAGTTCCATCCCAAGTGATTGCGTGACCGGGTTTTGAGGACTGTAGACAGTAGGTGGTGCATTCTCACATGAATGCGCTTTGTCACAAGTTCACACAACTAATCAGGATTTGCGCCATTTATGTCAACGCCAGGCATATCAGATATGATAAGGTTCAGCATTATTAGCAAAACTGCTAAAACAACTAAACGGACCAGTGGAATCCCTGCCACATTTTTGGCCTGTCAATTAACGCACAAACTAGCGATATAATTACTCTGGGAGAAGTCCATGCTGGTCTCACATGTGGGACTGATACATTGCAAACCGAACAGAATGCAATTCACACATCTGTGCGCCAAAACATTCCATCTCAAAGAACGTAGGTGGTACTGGTTCTAGACCAAGCTGTGCTCCAGAAACTGAATAATTCAAAACTATTTCAATGTAGTGGGTATACGTCGTATTGGTGGGTCCATAAATAGCATTTAAGTGAACAGTGCTAAGAGACCTCAAAATCAGGAGAGAGTTGTGAATGTCGAGCGTGCCTTTGCACCTTTGGATGCTTTCGGCCATATTTCCGATTTTTCGCATTCCCAACTCGTCACAACAACACGCTCTCAGCCGAACCATACAGACAAGTACATGTACTTTCCAGTGGCATCATTATTCCGCGTAAGATTTGCTTCGCCTGTGTAGTGTGTTCCTCCACCAATGAGGGCGTACAATAGTCCTTTTCGCTGTTCTCACATTCACGATTTTAGCAGCTTGCATATGCCATTGTTCTACGTTGAAAACGCGCACTTGCGCCATTTCTGCTGTACAAGAATGATCATTCCTTTACACTCCATTATCATCCCCTACTGATGAGCTCCAGCAGGGAGCGAAACAGCTGTCTAGAGGCGTGGAAACATATTATCTCCCAACGGAAGAGTCCTTGCTGGTGTCGGTATGGTTCGGCTGACAGCGCGTGCTTGTGACGAGTTGGGAATGAAATAAAACTAAAAAAAGCAAAACAGAACAAACAATATGTTTAAGGAAATGAAACTTTACCATCTGCACAAGGACAACTGCAGTCAAGATAGTCTCTGTTGATCAGTCTGTATCCGTTACCCATGTAAGCTAGTTGCCATCAAGGCGGGCATGGGCGACAGGAACACCTGGAGAGGCGTCATCCATCCCCCTATGCTAGGGAAATGGTAAGCAGGCCACCCGCAGACACATGATAATAGCACGCAGTATCAGTCAGCTTTTCTTGGGGTGCTGTGAGTGGGCTGGCGTGTTAGCATCCATAGATCGCACTGCCATGTTTGCATTTTCCATGCACCGTTATCTTAGTTCTTTGGTTCTATTGGCATATCTTTTTTTGGTATGGTATGGTATTTCCAATACAAGCCTATCTGTGCTCGCGTGTAAGCAGCAGTCATCGGAGTTTGAGATCACAATCGGCACCCCACAGGGCGACTGCCTATCTCCAGTTCTTTTTGTCATTTACTTGGAATCAGCGCTACGTGATCTCAGGGCCACTTTACCTCCCAGGCCGCCAGCTGATGAACTCTTGCCTGGGGAAGTTATCTATGCAGATGATACGGATTTTCTGAGCAGCTCGCGGACATGGTTGGACAGTATCAGCCCGAGCATAAATGAGGTCCCCAGAGAATGTCATCTCAAAGTGAACGAAGAGAAAATAGAGCAAACAACACTACGCAGAGAAGGGGATCGTCTAGCGGAAGTCTGGAGAAAGACACGTAAGCTTAGGTCACTTCTGGGTTATGAACAAGACGTGACCAGAAGGAAGCAGCTCGCAACAGCAGCTTTCAGGTCACTCTTTGTTGTCTGGTGTCGACGAGAGTTTATTAGTGAGAAGCTGCGCTTGAGGCTCTATCAGGCGTTTGCCATACCAGTACTGACCTACAACGGCGGAACATGGGGCCTGACGGTGGCTTTGGAGCAGAGTCTCAATTCCTTCCACCATCAGCAACTGGGATCACTCCTTAGCGTTAGGTGGCCTCAGAAGATCACGAATGTCTCTCTGTACGCCTGGTGCAAAGCTGAGCCAATCACCAACATTCTCAAGCGTCTGCAGTGGCAACTCTTGGTCACATTCTACGCTTGCCGGAGGACACCCCAGCATCACTGGCAACGGCGGCGTATGTTGAGAAGACCCGGCGAGGACGCCCACGTGTCACAATTGTCACGAAGCTGTAGGAAGACCTGGCGAAAACGAATAATGGAAGGCTTGTGTCACTTGGTGACTTTCAGCGCCTCCGGATCCTGGCAAGTGACCGTGCAGGGTGGAGAGGACTCTGTGCCGTCGTATGTTCCTCTTGACTGGATTACACAGAACAGATATATGATGTCATTTGATTTATGTTTTTGGCAGAGCATTCTATTTCGGGCATATGCGAATATGTGGGTTGCCATTGTGCGGCTGACATTGCCGCGGAAATGCAGATAATAATAATGGTATTGATCTATTTGAATTCGGTATCTCAACAGTACAATGTACAACTTGGGAAGATCCCCTTCCTTCTCTCCGCGTGGTCGCGGCTTCTTTTTCAAGTAGGGGTGGAATGTTAGGTTCATGTATTTATGTGTGCACGCACTCACCCACCAATGACCTCCCCCCCCCCCCCCCACACGTATGTACACAGGCACTCATACACACATTACCGCATGCACACTTTCCCATTCCCGCTTCACGAACCGTTCCCCTGGGATGTCCCCAAGTACGCAGACTCTGGTCTGCGCCGCTGTCAGACGAAAGGTGCTAGGGCTTTTCTGCCGCCGATGCGTGCGGGTCGTCGCTTCCGTCCGTCATTGACATGACTGCGCTGGCCGTCTGCGTGATGGAGGACATCTCAGTGGAACGAATTGTGGTGCTGATTTTGGTGAAAAAGTTGAAATCAGGTCCTGAGGTATAATTTCATCAGTCGATGGCTCAAATAGCACTTACGTGAACAAGATGGCACAGATGGTGTCCATTGACTGCCATTTCCACACGTGATATTCTTCCGCGGGGTAGATTGTGATTGTCCGGTAATGTAGTAACCAGCATCACATTGTACATTCAATACCTTTCCGTAGTGAACAGTAGATCCAGGGTTGGGCACTCTTAATCCACGAGTCTGCCTTGGAACAGTGCAATGTATGTCTGAAAGGAAACGTAACGAACGCTATATTCATACTCACTCACAGTTGTTTGAAGGTTAAGAGCGAATAACTCTGAAAGTTCCAACCCAAGGGATTGCGTGACCGGGTTTTGAGGAGTTACGGCAGTTTGTGGTGCATTCTCACATGAATGCTCTTTGTCACAAGTTCACACAACTAATCAGGATTTACGCCTTTTATGTCTACTCGGTAAGAGTTACAGACGTAGGAGGAAAGACGGGACCAATTAGCATGCTGGTATCGCAAACAGGTCTGCTGCTCTTGAGAGACTGTGCGTGCTCTGATCTAGAGGGGCTTGTTGCGGCTGATGTAACGCCAGGCATATCAGATATGATAAGGTTCAGCATTATTAGCAAAACTGCTAAAACAACTAAACGGATCAGTGGAATCCCTGCCACATTTTTTGCCTGTCAATCAACGCACAAACTAGCGATTTAATTACTTTGGGAGAAGTCCATGATGGTTTCACATGTGGTACTGATTATATTGCAAGCCAAGCAGAATGCAATTCACACATCTGTGCGCCAAAACATTCCATCTGAAAGAACGTAGGTGGTACTGGTTCTAGACCTAGCTGTGCTCCAGAAACTGAATAATTCAAAACTATTTCAATGTAGTGGGTATACGTCGTATTGGTGGGTCTATAAATAGCACTTTAGTGAACAGTGCTAAGAGACCCCAATATCAGGAGAGAGTTGTGAATGCCGAGCGTGCCTTTGCACCTTTGGTGTTTTCCGTGAATGGAGCAGCTGCGCTGGCATCCACGGCCTTCCTCAGGCGCCTTTGCCTGCTCACGTCTCAATCTTCGGGAGGTAGCCATTCGTCGTTGATGGGATATTATCGCTGTTGGGTGTCTTTCGCGCTGCTACGTTCCGCTGTATTGTGTGTCCGGGGTGCTCGGTCGGCCCAGCACCGTCCAGTTCACATGCTTCGTGAGTTGGCGATGGTGGAGGGCCAGGTTCCCCTCCCGTGATTACTGCTGCACCGAGCTTGTTTTGTGTGAAAGTATATTATATTATTCTTATTTTTATAAAGTTGATTGTTCCTTCTAGAAAAAAACTTATATACTGCTCTCTAGGCCAAACCATCACCAGGGATACAAACTTACAGAGACACTTTGTTTCCAGGGCGATAAACACCTCGTGAAGCTCCAGGTAGCAGCGTGAATCAGAGGGAGTGGTGCTTTCTTGTAGGTTACCATCCCTCGTCAGTAGTTTTGAGGGCAGTTAGCTTTTTCGAGCTCCGTAGTTTTGGCAGGTTTTGTAGTAGCCAGCCGGCAGCAGGCCGGTCTGGAGAAGGGTATGTACTAGATTGTTAAACACATGTAGGTAGTAGTTAGTTAGAGAAGCGTATACGTGTGTAGTATGGCTGCAAATATGTCTGCAAAAGGTAGTTCTAGCCTAAGCCGCGGTTCAGACACCCCTACCGCTTTGGAGTCACGTCGGAGGAAGGCAATCACCCCTCCCGCTGCCCTGGGCACAGCTACAGGAGGTTCGTACAGTGCCTCGTTGTCTTCAGGAAATCATGAGGCCCCCGTGGACATGATGAAGGAATTTAGGACGTGTATGTCCCAGTTGTTGACACAGGTTGCAGACCTAACCACGGAGGTGACAGCTCTGAAGACAAGATTTGGTGATCTGGAGCGGGAAAAGACGAACCTTGCCGCCACGGTACGGTTTTTAACAGACGACGCCAGCAATAGTAGTACAGCAGTGCAAGGCGGACCAGTTGGTTTCACCATTGACCTTGGACGCGGCAAATGCAGGACCGGTAGTTCAACTCGAACCATACAACCTCTCCGACATCATTGCAGAGGAGGTGTAACCGTCACACCTTCTTCTGCTTTCCTATCACTGCACACCTATGTACGCGCCTATCACTGCACACATATGTACGCGCCTGTCACTGCACACCTATGTACGCGCCTATCACTGCACACCTATGTACGCGCCTATCACTGCACAGCTTGTGCGCGCCTATCATTTGCACACCTTGTGCAACTTCTAGCACTTACTGTTCACGGCTAACCTTTGCACCTGTTATTCTACTTAGTGTATAAAACTGCTTTCATTATTTTTTATTATACATATTTGAGGATTTCCAAAAGACGTAGTCTAAATTGAAGGGAGTTCCATTATAATGGGAGGCTGTAGGGTTGAGATAGCAGACAGTGAAGGGCTAATGATTCGTAATGAACAGCCTAGCCAGAGAAATACAACTATGCTGAATGTTCCAGAATGGTCCTTAAACTCAATAATACCTATAGCCTCGGGTATGCCTTGAAATACGAAATATACCAAAACAGAAACACAAAAATTAATAAGAATAAGCGCAACGCTCAAAGAAGGAGGACAGAGGCATGTCAGTGAGGAGTGGCATTGTGTTTGGTGTCAGAGAAGTGCGTGCAAATGTGACGGTGAAACAGGGACTGCGAGGCTGTGGCTCTCAGGTCTGCGGGCAAGGTATTCCAGACAGTAGCGGTGCGGAGGAGAAATGACCTCCCGGCGTGTTTCCCAACCCGTGGCAGAGTAAATGCGAGTTGGCGGCGGCGACCACCCCAGCTGTTTAAACAATGATGACTTGAGCTCGTCTGATGGGCAAGGGCATCTCTCAAGCCGCATGACTGTGCGAGCTACTCTGGCTTGCAGCCGTTCAAGGGTGAGCCGCTGTGCAGCAGAGAGGGAGGACTCCCATACTGGGGCGGCGTACTCTGCAGTGGGGCGGACATACGTAAGGTACAGCTTCCTGACGATGTCTCCTGTTAAATGGTCAGCCACATGGCACAGAAGAACGCAGCGCTGTCTAAACTTGCTGATTGTCTGTTCAATATGCTCCTGGAAGCTAAGTGTTTCACTCAACAACACTCCCAGGTGACGGTGACTGGTGGACGGCTGGATACCGCGGATGGTCTCTGCAGCTCCTTCCTCAGCGAATGAGATAACAACGGTTTTCGGTGGGTTGAAGGTTCTGCCTACTCGGTCGGCCCAGGCAAATGTGTCCTGCAGGGCAATCTCCATTGGGCTGGTACCTTTGGTTCGTGCTTGGCCGACGGCGGTATCATCCGCGAGCAGGTAAACATCAGCGTGCTGGTTGCGTTTCGAGGCACTGGGTAGGCTGTTGATATGTACCAGGAAAAGCAATGGCCCGAGGTGGGAACCCTGGGGTCCTCCAGACTTGACGGGACGTGTGGAGGACAGATGGTGTTGGACGCGGACGCTGAATGTACGCGTATCGAGGTAGTTCTTAAACCAACTCGTAGCCGGAGCATCGCAGATAGTCCGAGTTTCTGGAGAAGCACGTCATGCGGCACTTTATCGAAGGCCTTCGCAAAATCGAGAAATGCAGCATCGTAAGGGATGCGTTTATCCATGGTCGAGGCGATCTTAGTAGTTAGCAGTATCAGCTGGTCAACTGTGGAGCGATCACGGACAAAAGCCGAACTGTTCCGGGACAATGATGTGGTTGACCTCGAGAAAGTGACCGAATTTGGTGGCGACAATCTTGTCTAGTGCTTTCGCAATAGCTGGGAGTAGGGTCAGAGGGTGGTAGTTGGAGGGATCACATGGGTTACCTTTATTTTTAAATATGGGGATTACTGTTCCCAGCTTCCAGGCACTAGGAAACTCACCTTAGGTGAGGCTAGCGTTAAACAGGTTGGTAACAGAGGACGTTATACATGGTGCGATCTCTCGGAGGATCCTGTTCGAGATGTTCCCGCCTGTTGCCTTATGCTGCGGGAGCATTCGGAGCACCCAGTACACTGAGGATTCGGCCAAAACTGGGAGAGGTAATAATTCATTCGGACAACCGTCGGCTGGTGCTGGTATTGGACCTGTACCGTGAGCAAGAGTGCACTGGCGCTCAAATACCTTCGCGAGAATTTCTGCTTTCTCTGGCTCGCTCTGTGCCGTTTAGCCCTCACCCGTTAGGTCAGGAACTTTATCTTTCTTGCAGGGGATGTTGGCAAGTGTCTTGGCTTTCTTCCACCAAAGCCAAGGTGGGCATCTTGCTCATCGTGAATATTCTCACTAAGGCGCTTGAAGTACAGGGTCTTGGCATTTCTTAACTGACTCTGATATGCATTCCTCTGGGCCTTGTAGGTTAACCAGTATGCTACTGTTTGGTGGCGCTGCTTCTGGCGATGAAGGTGATGCAGATGTGGGGTGAACCAGGGCTTGGTTTGCTGTCTGCGAGATGAAACTCGTCTGTACGCTAAGCACCTGGCAATGGCTTGTGTGATGCATGACTCCAAGAGTCCATAACCCCCCAGAGTGTGCAACTCGTGATCCTTCCCAGCGCAAATCAGTGCCGCAACGAAATCCAAACTTCATACGTCATGTAGTGAGTAGCTATGACGAAATGGGAAGTTTGGCCCGGACCTACTTCGCCCGTTTGCCCAATTTGGGGTCTTTCTTTACGAATCCACGGTCAGGTATTGTACGTAACACGCCTGGAAAGGCTCAAGTACACAAAGAATTATTTTAGAGTTGTCGAACAGTTTTCTCTTTTGAGTGTCTCTCCGATAAGAGAAGAACAATGGCCACTGTTGAACCTAAAGCAAAGCGCTCCCCATTGTCGCCGGAGTGCAGTGTCTCTGTGGACGATATTCGTCAGTTTTTGTTCGATCTGGGCTCCTCATTTTCTTCTCTCGATTGTCGAGTGTTGGAAATTGTTAATTCTTCCAGCACCTGGATAGAGATTTATTGCTCGAAGTCTGTGCTTCTCACATGCAATGGAACACCCGTCAATTTGAACCGTATGGTTGTGAACCCAGCAGGAACATTCACTGTAGGTTGAAGCACATCTACTTCGAAATCGATCGGGTCTTCATGCCGTGTGCCAAGAGCTATTTCCATCAAATCTTGTAAATCTATATCCATGCCTATTCTTGCTATCCCGGAGTCACGAACTCTCCCAATACAAGCTTTTCAGACAACGAGCAGAGAAACTCTCTTCAAATAAAAAAATTCTGTGACTGTCAAATCAAAGCCTTTCTGCTGACACTGCATAGCCCGTGCAGCAAACGTTTTACGTGACACTTCCGTGGCTTGCTTCAAAGCAACCTTCAACTTGGAACCCCCGCCGGATGTACCAGATATGCACATGGGGATATGGCCCCATCCGCCCATGCTTGCCCGGGGACCGGATGACGCAATGTTTAAATTTCGTTGCGCCAGACCCCAACCTGGAGTTGCACACTCTGGGGGGTTATGGACTCTTGATGACTCCCATGCCCACCACGCACTCTCGATGGTGGAAGTACCAAGCATACACTCCCGGAGTGGAAGAGATGAAAGTTTCCTACTAATAAAGAGACGATTATTCCTCAGCTGACTAAGTGAGGCGTTTATATTGGTAGCAAAGAGGTTGGTTTTCAATGGTTATCTTCAATTTGCACTGGTTCCTTCTGACGCCTGCTGTCTTATCGTTCCTGGTACTCAGTTTACTGGTTTTCGCCGTTATTCGGGAGCTGCTGCGAGTTGCTAGGCTATTAGCCAACGGTCCACCGCTAACAACAGCACCTGTGACTCCTTGGAAGGGTATCGGAGCCGCGGTCAACCAGAATCGGCCTACCTCGAGACTTCGGCCTTGTACGAAGGAGCCTCAAGTGTTCGGTGGCGAGGCAAACCGGCTGTTTGTTGTTGTTGTTTGTATTTATTTTGATTCGCAAATTCAAACGGGCATAGAACCCAATAACATGAAAGCGAATATGAAAATCATAATGAGAATGAGAATTCAAATACTTTGATCTTCAACGTAGAGTCAGCGGTACATCAGAGGGAGATCGGGTACAACAGAAAGAGAACAGAAAAAATCAGATTTCGCTTGTCGACATCTACAGGGCACAGGTATAGGTTCAAGGAGTGGTATTTCGCTATCGAATTGGCTCTCAAGTCCCTGGAATTAGGCAGTTCGGATAGAGAAGTTAACTATGCCGCTAGTTTCCTTGTAGACAACGCTCGCCTTTGGCTCATCTCTTCCCTGGGAGCTGAAACCTTTCCTGACTGGCCGTCACTAAGAGATGCGCTTGCTAAGGTATACGGTCCAAACTTTCAGGTTCCTGAGTTGGACGAGCACTCAAGAGCGCTGCTGTTAACCAACGGGCTGTACGGCGATGTCCGAGAACAGGTACTTCGTGACCATCCGAAAACCGTAGCTGCGGTCGTGGATGAGGGTAGCTACTTCTGCACGCTTGTACCGTAGGCTACATATGTTTAGCGCGCCGATCTTGAGAGGCGCGGCGGTCTGGGTAGGTGGAGGGTGTACTGAAGGTGACTGTGCATGCGGAGTGGCAGGATTCCTAGGGGAGAAGGGTTTGGCAAGAGGGTTCAGCGGCATGAGTGTTCAGGAGGAGATAATTTACAGAAGAAAACGGTATATACAAATAGAGAAATAGATGGGCTGGGTTCATAGAATGTGGACAGTTTTCGACGAGTACTTACTCAGTGGCTTCCTCTGCGCGCAGCTTCAACTCTCTCTCTCTCTCTGCCAGCTTCTTGCGCTCACGGTTTAAATACTCCTTAGCCCACGCAATTTGCGGGTCGTTCAAGGCAGAGGCAGGTGGTTCTATGCACCCGGATAAGACAGTGGCGGAGAAGGTGTGTTTACCTGCTGCACGTCTGAAGCCTTCTTCATCAGGAGAGAGGGTTGTCCCGCTGCTCTTTTCTTTGTCTCCAGGTTGACTGAAAGCCGGCACATGGTTACTGGTATCAGTTGTGCCAGTGCTGGTCCTGTTGGCTAAAAAGTGCCTGGCGATAGCTGTTGACTGAGGCAGTGTTCAGCCCTTCGTTGCTAGCTGCACCTGTCTCCACACTGACGACAGCTGGCTCTACAGCGGCTTCTGCGGGCTGGGTAGTCACCGTACCCGTATTAGTGGCTGTACTGACGCTGGGAGGGTTTGTACTCGTACCGGTTGTGTTGCGGTCCTGCGTTTGTGGAGGCCGGGAAGCTGTAGACTGTACCCCACGGTTGGGACATGCTTTAGCCTCGTGGCCACTGTTTTTGCAGCGCCAACATGTTTGCTGTTGGCCACGGTGCCATACTCGCAGTTTCAACTGACCTACGGTAACCGTAGATAGAACTGGTGATCGGAGGACCAGGCTGAGAACACGGGTGCCAGTACTTATTTCCAATCCCTCAAACAATACTTTTTTTCTGTTGAGGCGACCCAACAATTCGGCCGAATTGGCCCAGCGCAGCACACAATTTACTGTTTTGAAGCCCGACACGGCGCCCAAACACATGCAGACGGGTTAAGTCCACCCCGGAAATCTCGCAGAGCACCTGCTTACCCGAAATCCGGATTCCTGCGTCCAGTATCTTTTCCGGCTCAGCAGAACTCTTCACTGTAACTAAGCAATGTCCAGTCTTGCCCTGAAGGTCCACCTGGCAGACCTGACTTATATCTACCTTACTCTGCTTGAGCGCCTCGACGTAAAACAAGTGGTCTGCAGACCAGTCCTTCTGCATCCTAAAAGAAAAGGAGGCCGGAGCAGGAGCTCCAAAACTGCCAACCATCTCCATCGTACTCATGAGGTTTTATCGAGTTGGATTTGGTCTAGGGTGTGCTGGAACGCACCAAGTTTGGATTGCAGTCCGAAGGCATTTGTTAGCAGGAGCGTTAGGCTGGGGGGGGGGGGGGGGGGGGCATCATTTGGATTGCTGCTCAGTGCGTTCCTTAAATCGCCATGGCCTCGCGTACAGGGGCCTTGGTCAGAAATTCTCAGTTGTGACTAGGGTGAGGTCCTTAGCGTCCAAAGTTAGGTGGGCAAACTTTCTTCCTGCCTCCGTTGTGTGGAGGCTGCAAGTCTGCACCGTTGAAGTACCCCCTGCTGCAACTGCACGCTGCTGGGTGAAGCATTTCAGTCCCTCCTCAGTGCAGCTTGAGCTTAAATTGCCTACATACAAAACTGCCCTCCTGGACCTGGGAGGCTCTCCTGACACCAGTTGCCAGCTGTCGTCGTCTAAGACCTCCAGGACTGGCTTGGATAGATGTTTAGCGCTCCTGCTGTAGGGGCCCTCAATACCAATGATCTCAGAATTACTGTCTTCCTCACTGGACGCCTCAGGGTCACTGCCAGTGTCACCCACGCTACGGGGCTCACCCGTAGATCCACTAGTAGTGCACGCGACAGCCTGGCCTGTGCGGGTACTACGGGTACGATTTATTGACGATTTCGTAGATCTACGCTTCGTACGCTGCCTCTGCTGAGAAGCTTGAATATTTGGGAGATCACTTGCCTTGGCAATGGCGGCTTCCTTGAGGGAGACAACTTCCTTAGTCAGGCCTGACACTTGCCGCGACAGGTCATTGATTCTTTTGTTGAGGCGATCCTCGCGATCGGCCGACTCGGACGCTAAGTTCGCCAGGGTCTTGATAACCTCACTGAATCACAGACGACTCGATACCCGGGAGGGAGCACAACCGTTTCGTTTCTCCCTCTGAGAGCCCCTTGAGGGCGGCCTTTGTAGCTGGGGGTATGGCCGCCAGAGGTGGGTCAGCCCTACTACACGATACTCACTAACTAATACTGCTAGTTGTCCTCTTGGCCACGCCGACGGGCTGCCAGAGACTGAAAAACTGCGGCGCTCAAAAATTTGCTTCCACTTCAGTAAAACATCAAAAACACGATGGTGGGGAGTCAGCCGGGAGCCGGAGGACGTGCCCAAAGCGCCTACATCTAGCTCTCAAGATGATAGTACCGAGAGGAACCGCGCCGGTACGCTCATAGAACCTCTCGTTCCTAATCCGATTCGGGAACACAATGCAGATTAGCGCCCGCAGCTGTTTTCGGTGGAATGCCTCAATACGGCTCAGCTGCTGTTTCGTTGGTGCCCATATTGCACAATTGTAGCAGAGTACAGGGAGTACAAAGGAATTATAGAGCCGGATGCGGAGATCCTCCGAAACTAGCGACCTACGGATCTACAGCGTCCAGAGTTTACCAAAGGCAACAGTTGCCAGTTGCTGTCGCCGTAGCATATCCTCGGCATCACCTAATAGGGACCCGAGTTTCTTGGTGTTTCGCCACTCCTCCTCGATGCGATCAGTGTGCTGTTCGATGTGCGTGTGCTCTTTTTTTGTCTCATTCACTTTCAAATCCCATTCGAGGAGCTTGTTGGATATGGTTGGAAGGAGGGTCTTCAGCCTCACACCATCAGCAGTTACGAAATCCACATCGTCGGCGTAGGCAGTTTCAGTTGGTAACCCCAGGGAGATATCGGCAGGGGGACGCGGTAGAAGAAGAGGCCGAACATCACGCAGCGCACCCTCAAGGCACACTATGAAAAGAACAGGAGACAACGAGTCACCTTGGGGCGTGCCGCGGAGAGTGGGGAATGACGAGCCCTTAGCGGATGAGAGTACAACCCGAAGTATGGTGTCCTGGAGGAGGTAACTGATCATTCGGATTTCATCCGGCTGCAAGAACGATCCCAGCACCGAGATGAGCCGTGTCCTGCTTCTACAGTCAAACGCTTTTGACATATCAATGCCTAGGATACCCAGCGCACAGCGATAGCGTTGGCATCGAGCCGCCAACCATCGGTATGACCACACAATTTCTGTGGTGCTTCTGCTGGGGCGGAAACCGCTCTGTGTGTGGGTGCAACGAAGTTGTTGAAGTCCTTGTTGATCCTCCGCAGCACAATCAATGATAGAATCTTCCTGAGCGCTGTGAGTAAGACCGCGGGCCGTAGGTGAGCGACTGGTCCCCTTGATTTGCCAGGCCTTTGTAACGGAATATGTGACCCACTAACGATGCTGTTCAGGGGTAAAATTAGTGGCGGGCAATTCATCAGCCTTGCAAGCTGTTGAATGGTGCAATCCCAGCACAAGTTGCTATATCTAACATAGCTGTTCGCTAACATCGCTTCCGCGACGGGCAGGTCTGAGGTCTCAGGTTTACGTGTGCGTGTGTGTGTGTGTGTGTGCGTGCGTGTGTGTGCGTTTGTGTCTCTCCACTCTCCGTGTGTGTGCGTTTGTGTCTCTCCACTCTCCCGGGGAGACCCACGTGACCAGTTTTGTCAATGAGCAACAAGTGTGTGTGTGTGTGTGTGTGTGTGTGTGTGCGTGAACGTTTGTGTGTGCGCCGGCTAGTCCGGTTGGTGGGTGCACGTATGCCAGATCAGTGTTGGGACAACCCAAAGACATGCCTAAGATGATCACTGCCCATATGTAGCTGTTACAAGCTTGTTTGGACTCACTATTAGAGCTGGGAACAGATCACACGCCATGTAAACCTGCTACATGAACTTGTTGAACTACAGGCTCTCATGTACATGTACTCCCTCTTTCTCAATCTACCCCCCCCCCCCCCACCCGCTCCCCCTGTTCTTTCTCTTTCCCTCGTACTTCCATTACATTTTTATCTGGTGAGTCTAGAGCGTGAGGATGTCGAGACCAACTGGTCAACGGAGCGCCTGGCCCCCACCACCATAGCTGCTGCATGTTCCCATTGCATGTACCACGTGGATTTTGGTATAAAAACAAAAAAACCTTTTCCTTTCTACATTTATTATTGGCTCAACATCCGAGTTTCCAAAAACAAAACTCTATCTTGAAATTGTAATGAAAAAGTCCTTTTCAAAGTGTCATCTTCGGTTTGCTCAAACCTAGAACATACAGTGAACTTTGCACGGGGGCAGTTAACTTTGACATGAACCAGGAAGAGTGCATATCCAAGCCGATACATTATCGTTCATATTCATTATTATAGCAACTAAGCACTTACCGCCGAGGTTCTGTGTTGACACTTCATTGGCTGTCAGCAGCGTAAGGAGTGCTGCGATGACAATAACCCCTTTGGCAGATATCACCTGCCAATGAGTGTTAGGTCTCATTTTCTGGAGTCACCACGCATTTGGGTTATGGTCAACCGCTTATGCCTCTCGTCCGTAAGAAGAAGGAAACCGGTATTCTTGAAACGGCTGGTCGATTGCCAAAACTAAACGAAAGAAGCCCAGATACCGCTGTCTCTGGATTCCGTTATGATGGGAAGCAAACGGTGACTTGCCTACCTGCCTGTACCCGAGACCACCTTTGACGTGGAATAGTATCAATTCGCAACCCGAAGGAGATAACTGTCCAGTGATAAAGGAACGGATGGTGAGCATCAGATCGCTATGAAAATTAATATTATAAGAGCTCACAACCAAATGAGACAGAATCAAAGGAGGATATAATTATATGCTGTAGAGGACTGGTACAAAGCGTGGAGAAACGAGACCCCTTTTGGGCAAATACATGTAGATGGCAATTATCATGGGTTTGGAGTACATAAAAGTGCGTGAAATGCTTATAGATGAACCCTTTCGCGCAAGGCCAGACCATTTGTGAAGGAGTGGGAACCACATCCGCGCATGACGCAGCCAACAGCAGTCCCAGGGACTTTCGTTCCAAACGAGGAGCATGCAGAATTTCCAGAATGTGCGCGTCGCCCAGGGCATAGCTTGGTTCACCTACATCTACTGTAAGGTCGCAAGACCGAAGAAGCCCAGTGATAGATGTCGATTGCTGGATTGGAACGAAAAAGCTCCACGAGACCAGTGTTGGTGTGAACTTGATGTTACCACTATGCACTAATGATCTGAAACGGTAGTCAGGTGACAATCACTGTTTGAGGCCCAGGTGGCGACTATTCCGAAAACTCGTTATGCTCCATTTCATATTGCCAGGTGGCGTGCACTGCTAGCAAAACAATCCTGCCGGTAAAGGCATTCCAATCGCTCACAGTGCACTACCCATGTGCTCATTAAATGTTCCTGGCACTCTCTATGTGTCGCGTTCGTTGTCACCGAAGTTTGCATGGTTCTTGTTTTTGCTCGCACTGTACTAGTAATCAATCCATTTCGGGTTCTCCTCTATTTTCTGGTTCGTCATCAGTGGTCATTAGTGAATGAATAGGAATAGTAATGCGTATACCTCTGATAGGCTTCGCGACCGATTTGTGTTCGCGCTGCTTTCCGAATCTAAATGCTTTTGACGGCACGAGGTTCTCCAACTACCTCAGCATACAAATCCCGAATGTTAGTCATGGCGTTAATTATCATTACCATCTCAAATTATTACAGCATGCGACTGAGCTCCCGGCCATTGAAGGAAATGTTGAGTCACCCCCACCATTACACTGCGCTCTTAGCCGACTAGACCCTCGTGCACACAACCATCACCACTGCGAGGACACTTACACCTCAAATTGCTTGCCCGTAAAGTCGCGGATAAAAGCCGGGTTTGTATACAAGCACATCGCGGATAGAAGCCTGAAAATCAAACGGATCAAATGCATATAAGCCTGTCGCGCGTAGAAGCCTGGCTTCTATGCAAGCGCGGATCGGGTAGGTCAAGAGTGCATGCGCTATGTACAGTGCATAGTAAAACTGCCACCATACCGGTAGTCAGTGGTAGATCTACGCGTGTCGCGCGTAGAAGCCTGGCTTCTATGCAAGTATGGTGCATAATATAAGCATGGTTTGCATACAAGCCTGGTTTGCATTAAAGCCTGATGCAGAAAGCTGCCTATGTGCTTATAAGCCCAGCTTTTATCCGCGACTTTACGGTATACATGATTTGAGAGAGGTAGGTTGGTGGCGGCGGAAGCGCCCCCCCCCCCCCCCCATCTGTCCGTGGTGGTTTTCGTAAAGAAGTGCGGCGAACTAGCGACTGGTTCCAAATGTCACTATAGATTGGAGGTGTCCATTGAAATTTCATTTTTCAGGATGCTTATCGTTTCCGAGAGCGGACGCGACCGTCACGAAGGCCAAGCAGCGTGATCTGGGGACAGATGTAATTGTCCCGGAGGGTAACTCGTTTCAAAGAGGTTGAGTGCAGAATGGATGGATTAATTAAGGGATCCTGGCTGAACAAATACGACCAGAAGGTTGCCCACCTCCCGCATTCCCACGTACTACTAGATGGAGATGCTAGTGCTGCGAAGTGCAAATGACCCTCCTCGTCATCGCCCTCAGCGTCACTTATACATGTTACTACTCCATGTGCAAAACTGACTCGCGCTGCTGCCTGGTGCTCTGGATCTCGTCCAGACGAAGAGAACCCCGGTTACGTTTTTTGTAATACGTACAGGCTCAGTTCCAGTTTCCTTGGAATTTGAAAAGAGTTACCGAACATTAGGAAGCTGACTTTGATCCATTTCCCATCAAGAAATAGAACCAAAGCCCCCAGATACCGGGCGATAGCAGATATTAGCTCCAATCGGATATCGCACTAGCTGTGCTAGTACTCGTTAGAAACAATCCGAACTAGCGCACACACTGCACTGCATCATTTTGTACTGCGTTCAAGACTGGCGTCTTGCGCTTTGTTTTGCTGCGTAATCACAGGCGGCACCAGCCCGTTTTGCTGAAAAGAAAAAACTTATCTTGCTCGCCCTGTTGTGCTCTTTCAGACAACTGATCGTGCTTCAGCAGTGTTTATTTTTATTATTATTATTATTATTATTATTTGAAACTCGGATGTTGAGCCATAAATAAATGTAAAAGAGAAAAGGACATATGGATACGAGTTTAGAGTAACTCTCCATCACTGTAACATGATACTATATACAGTCAGACAGTGCAATAACTAGGCACAAAACTGACAGAGTACTGAGACATTCGACGTCCTGACACCTAACTTTAACACATCTCCGTAGCGCTAACCGACAGCCTTCCAACTTGGAAGGTTCAAGGTTATGGAAAGACCAAAGAGGGGAAGGCAAGCGCAACGAAAACGAGCAAAAGCTACAGTCCCAACGGAACAAAGAATGTCGATTGTTACTGGACGATGACGAGACCAGTACGATATTTGACAAAGCGGTCTAACTACAATTCGAAGCAGCAAAGCAGCACACCACCCAACTTGGGTGGGCCATAAATATCAAAGATAAGTAAAGAAAGGGAAGCTTTGCGAAAACGAATTGTACAAGCCGAAAGCCAAACTCCTACAGTACTCCTCATGCATGACATTGTGATGGACTAGTTGACTACAAAACAAGTTGTTTCACACGACATACGTTTCGCCGTATGGTTCGTGACGGCTCATCAGGTGTGCAATTTGAAACTCGGATGTTGAGCCATAAATAAATGTAAAAGAGAAAAGGACATATGGATACGAGTTTAGAGTAACTCTCCATCACTGTAACATGATACTATATACAGTCAGAAAGTGCAATAACTAGGCACAAAACTGACAGAGTACTGAGACATTCGACGTCCTGACACCTAACTTTAACACATCTCCGTAGCGCTAACCGACAGCCTTCCAACTTGGAAGGTTCAAGGTTATGGAAAGACCAAAGAGGGGAAGGCAAGCGCAACGAAGACGAGCAAAAGCTACAAAGCTTCCCTTTCTTTACTTATCTTTGATATTTATGACCCACCCAAGTTGGGTGGTGTGCTGCTTTGCTGCTTCGAATTGTAGTTAGACCGCTTTGTCAAATATCGTACTGGTCTCGTCATCGTCCAGTAACAATCGACATTCTTTGTTCCGTTGGGACTGTAGCTTTTGCTCGTTTTCGTTGCGCTTGCCTTCCCCTCTTTGGTCTTTCCATAACCTTGAACCTTCCAAGTTGGAAGGCTGTCGGTTAGCGCTACGGAGATGTGTTGAAGCTAGGTGTCAGGACGTCGAATGTTTCAGTACTCTGTCAGTTTTGTGCCTAGTTATTGCACTTTCTGACTGTATATAGTATCATGTTACAGTGATGGAGAGTTACTCTTAACTCGTATCCATATGTCTTTTTCTCTTCCACATTATTATTATTATTATTATTTGAAAAGGATTGGGAGAACTTCATATTCAAAGGATCAGTCGGGGAAGTGAACTGCCTGAAAAGAGAAAAAAACGCCAGACCCACCAGGACTCGAACCTGGGACCCTGCTTGTCATGAGCAATGCTCTAACCACTGAGCTATGCGACCAGGCTGAACCTAGAAGGCTCTGACAAGTTTTTCCTGGGGGAGGGAAAAAGACCCAAGTGCCATCAGTATGTGTGGCACGTGTTGTGAGCTGCCTTTGGAGTGAAAAACTTGTCAGCGCCTTCTAGGTTCAGCCTGGTCCCATAGCTCAGTGGTTAGAGCATTGCTCATGACAACCAGGGTCCCAGGTTCGAGTCCTGGTGGATCTGGCGTTTTTTTCTCTTTTCAGGCTGTTCACTTCCCCGACTGATCCTTTGAATATGAAGTTCTCCCAATCCTTTCCAAATTTAATCACTTTCTTTCACTTTCAGTGGGTCCAATGTTATTAGGCATTTTGCCTGTTTTGATTTCCACTATAAATAAAGTATACAACAACAACAACAACACCTCTGGTAGTTTCCAGAAACTGACCGTGGTTGGTCCCCTGGGGGAGGGAAAAAGACCCAAGTGCCATCAGTATGTATGGCACGTGTTGTGAGCTGCCTTTGGAGTGAAAAACTTGTCAGCGCCTTCTAGGTTCAGCCTGGTCCCATAGCTCAGTGGTTAGAGTATTGCTCTTGACAAGCAGGGTCCCAGGTTCGAGTCCTGGTGGGTCTGGCGTTTTTTTTCTCTTTTCAGGCAGTTCACTTCCCCGACTGATCCTTTGATTATTATTATATATTGTATCCATATGTCCTTTTCTCTTCTACATTTATTTATGGCGCAACATCCGAATTTCATTATTATTATTATTATTATTATTTGAGGGATTCCCCAAAGGCTGAAGCCTAAATCAAAGGGGTCTCCGAGAATAAATATACGTATACAATACGTGTAGAATAGGGTGCAATTTTTAAAAGGAAGAAAATATTAAGATAAAAAATATTAATGTGAAGAGGTTAATTTAGAAGTCTGAGTAAAAGCAAGCAAAAAGGGTACTGGTAAAGAAGGGGGGGGGGGTAATCAGGAAGTGAGAAAACCTCGAGGATGGAATCTATACCTGTGGAAATGGGACTTAACGTGCCGGCTAAATACACCACAGGTTTCAGATATCCTAATCTTTTCCACCATCCCTCCCTACTCGTTCGCCCGTATAATTATATTATTATTATTATTATTACAAAAGGCAGAAGAGAATAGAGACAGCCGGCTAGGTCATTGTTGTAACGCTGCGTTTCATGCACATAGCAAAGCTAAGGCAATCCTCAGACAACTGTTGTCTGAGGATTGCCTTAGCTTTGCTATGTGCATGAAACGCAGCGTTACAACAATGATCTAGCCGGCTGTATCTATTCTCTTCTGGATTTTGTGGTAATGCTCCATCCTTGTGGTGTTGAGCACTCTAGGCAATCTGGGAACTCTCGCTATTGTAATTATGATTATTATTATTATTGCATCATCGTCTCGTGGCAAGCAATACCAATATTGAATGAGAGAGGGGTGATAGCCAACCACGGCCAAGTCAACAAAAGAAAAGTAGTAGACATACATGTATAAGAAAGAAGAAAGAAAGAAGATAACTCAAGAGATACAAATTACACAGTGGCCCAGAACAAGTGAATACCTAGCGATAATGTTTTTTTAATAGATTCCACCGCAAGGTTATATGCTTGATGGCATTCCTGTAATACTTGAAGAATTCTTGATTGAGCTGCATACTTTTTGAATTACCTGTACAAGTGCCTGCGCTTGGATTTGCTAAGGTATATTTTCCTTGCTTATTTTCCTGGAGGGCTGGTAGAATTACTGATCCAGTTGCATTCTTTCGCCTTGTTGGACTCTCAACATAACACATACATCTGCTAACGTGACTATATCCTGTCTGGAATGTTGAGTGAAACTGTTAGATGAGTCCTAGAAATGTGATTGGATTAAGACTTCTAAGTATTTGCATTACCTCCATCTTCCAAGATAATAATAATTATTGTTTTCATGCGTTCATCGCTGTTTTGAGTCTTTTCAGCCTTGTGTCCTTTCGACACATCGGCCATGATCATTTTCTCCCTGATTCTTAGATAATTCATATTTTTCTGAGGCAGTTCTGTTTCTCTCACCAGAGCTTGCTTTCTCATGTTCGTGGATGGTTCGCTTGGTGTTGGATCCAATTCTTAGGTACGTGATAACTCTCTGTGCGCCATGTCAATGGTGTTAGATACTAGATACAGCGTACGCTGCTCTTCTTCAGTGTGCCTGTCTGTAACCGTGTAAGGAAAGTAGGCCTCTTTTACGGGCAAACAGAATACAATTGACAGTGGCATGGCGAATGATTAGAACACAACACCAAAAAATGAAAACAATTGTATGTGTGAAAAAAAGCTTAAAAAGAACTGTGTAAGTGACATGTTGGCTACCTCGCTGCTTGTGCTGGTGCTGGTGGTATGTCGTTGTTGTGTATGCGTGCATGTGTGTGTGTGTGTGTGTGTGTGTGTGTGCGTATGTGTGTGTGTGTCTGTGCTGTCTGTGTCATATTCATATGCGACCCTGGTGGTCACCGCCCTTGTGAGGTATGGATGGGTGCTGTGTGATTCCACAGCCAGTTGCTATGCCTGGTATAGCTCAACAATGATTATTCTGCTACCACATGTACATGTATGCATGGACTTGACTATGCATATTGTGTGGCCCAAGATGATAATACATTATTATTATTATTATTGTGTGCATCAGTATCAGGGCATTATGTCTCCTCATCTGCCAATACGTGTGTGCTTTCTGAAGGGGGGGAGGGTATCATTGCATGGGATGAGTAGAGTAGGGGTGTATACGGGTAGTCAGGTACCCGTTCTAGTCGGGTAGACGCCAGGTACAGAATAGTACCCGAAAACCCCAAGTCGCAGATTACATCAATTGCAGTTCACACGCAGGGCATGCGCTAAGGATTAAAATGTGCTCTGACACAATGTCCTGCCAGTTGCAAAATGGCCGGACATGTCCGGACATGCAAATTTTCTGCTGCTGCGTCGTCAAGTTTGCACAAGGCTCGAGCGATTGGCGCATACTCTATTGGGTTTCCGCTTGACTGCTCCTTGCCAAACAATGTCACCTCATGGCGATGAATTTCAGAAGCAGCATGATCTTTGAAGGCTGACGTTTTCAGGTTCCTTGAGCCAACGACGAAGGAGTCAGAAAAATTCTTGCTGCCGCGAATTTTATTAACAAGACGGGAACACATCTTACACTCCAAATTTTCGACAACGCTACGATCTGAGGTACTGCGCTCATAGCTCAGCCAAACAGAAGTTGAAAGCTCCCTATCATCCTCGGCGACCCACTTGTCACAAGTGGTCGTCTTGACTCCTCTGGGCTTCTTTCCCAGAGGAGCACCCGGATCAGCGGTGCTTGGCTTCCTCTTGCCAGACAACTAATGATTACGAGACAAAGAATTGATGTGCCTTTTCTTTTCTGCACTTTGCAAAAAAGTGAGCGGACACTTTGTCCGGATGTGCACAAAACATCCGGGAACTGACCGTAAACGGTCGGAAATTGTCCGATGTCCGACCGTTATTTCGCGCCCTGATTCACGGGTACAAATTCATCTAATACTCCGCATGTCTAACCAGCGTGTAAGGGAAGGGGTGCATTGTGGTGTTACCATGGAAACATTACCCGATCGGGTACATGTGCTACCGGAACCCGATACCCGAAGAAAATGCTACCCGACTCTGCACTAGGGTAGAGCATAGACACCAGGTCTCTCAGTGTGTGAATTGAACGCATCCCCATTTGGAATTGTAAGAGAGGGCAACCACCGTATCTCTGAGTCACCGATTACAGGGGGGGCAGCTATCAATGCAATACAAGTACGTTGAAGTACTGGTAACTATTTGCATTGATCCTGTGACTCCTGTCATTATTACTGTGATCAACATGCCCGCTAATTATTATTAATGTTTAGCTGCGGAAATACACCAGACAGGAACAGTTACAAGTAATGAAATGTAAAAATTTTGATTGGGAACACTCTGATCAGACCCATACAAAATGCTGTGCTAGAACACATGAAACGAGACAGAAATGAAACTTGCTGGTTAAGACAAGGCAACATTCAAAAAGAAAAACCTCACGTGCAGTATTATAATAATGTTTTTTAAAGCACGCCATGGGCATGGATATTTTTCATCTCGAATTCGATGTGAAGAAAATAAATGATGTTTGCACAAATGTATTGAAGCAAAGAAGATTATCATGGATGGTTGGTATGCTTGCGCATGTAAAAGAAGTGCAGCTAGAAGCCTGAGACAAAAGGTCGCACGAAAATTTAAAAAAATCATATCCAAGATAAACAAAACCCTCTGAGAGAGGAGGCAATGTAGTTTAAGCAATTTAGTTGTGCGAACGCGAGGCCATGTACCTGAACTCTGACTCTGACTGAACTCTGCACAACAAAGATATGAAATTTATTGCCGGAGTGCATGTACTGTATATCCAAGATCAGCTGACTGGTATGCCAACATGCAGTCGGAGGCCAAGCAGACGCAGTAACAGTTATGTAAGTACTTACTGATGTCCCATGGCCTGTAAGACCCAGCACTGGATATACTGGACTGGGCTCCGAGCAGTACCAGTGCACACTACACTGACTGTACTCTCAAACACTGCTACTGGTTGGCTGGGAAAGTGTCGCGGAGCTGCGTCGGCTGAACAGAGACAAACTGCGGATGTGATCCAGGACAAAGGAGGTAGGCGTGCTACTGGATCCATTCCCCTTGGACCCGCGGCGACGCTTTGTTGACAAGGCGGAAGAGGCGGTGGACGAGTGAACCGACTTGAGCAGTTCCTGACGAACGTCGGGGGATCGTGCCGTGTGGACGGCGAACATGAGGCAGCCTTGTGTGCTCACGAGCAGAGTAAAGATGTACTGCGTCGCAACAGTGTTACGGATCACAAGCAACACGCCGCTGAGCCAAGCCAGGCCAATCACCACCGACATGGATATTACCACGGTAACTAAGTTGATCTCGCGGCCCTGCTTCTGAGCGCCGAGGTTCTTGCGTACGTGGTACAGGTGCTTGGCAATACTGGTCAGCATGATGCAGTTAAACACCAGCATGCCACAGAGCGGTGTTACGACGGTGGTGTAAAATGTACTGTCATCCTTTAGCCAACAGCTGCACAGGCATAGAGAGGTAGAAATCATGACTTACACCTTGCCTTGTACAAGTGCGTACATGTCCATTTTTTAAAGAACGCTATAATCTATCATACAGCATGTGTAGCTATTTCGCATGTACATAATGCACAGACTCACACACACACACACACGCACATATACACACACGCCAACACACACACACGCACACACACATGCACGCACACACGCTCATGAACGCACGCACACACAAACACACACACACATACACACACAGAATACTAAGTCCACCACTCACAGCTTTTCCGAACCGTAGGCGTCAAGTCTTGTTATGCCAGCTGGAAAAACAACGATGATGAATGGGGTACCTGTGGGGGAAAACAAGGAAAGCAAAAGAACGGAGGTAGGCCAGTTCTTAGTTCAAATAGTGCAGCCATTTTCAGTTGTGCTTGGACCAATAACGACACAATGGCCCAGCTTATTTACTAGTCTGTGGCTATGTAGTGTGGGCAGACTGCCGTGCCATATTCCCTGTGCAGAGTTACATATTTCGGGGGTATTGGCTCTTGATAAACAAATGTACGATCAGCGAGTAAATCTCTCACGCCATCTGCCATCTAGTATCAGGCCAGAACGCTTAAAACATACAATGTAATTGTCATTATTCACAGGGATACGGTACGGTCACCACGGTAATGAGTGTACCACTTTTGCTCCAGGTACCACTGATCTAGGCGCTAAATTTCGACAATATTCGGCGCAGCCACCCCTTCCTCACAAGCAAATTGTACTTCAGATGGCTGACCATAATACACCGAAATACCTTCCGACGCGCCTGATTCAACTCATGTCATTTAACCACTAGTCACATGTCAATGTCATTATTATAACTCGAAGAAAGTTAATCCATGGTCATGTGACAACGGGAATTCCCCCATCTTTTAATGCTCAGTCTTAGATAGGCTTACCGTAGGCAAGGGCATAGACTAGGCGTACAGTGCGCTGGTCATGTTTTGTCTTCACAATGATCAGGTACAGGTGTACCGCCGCCGCTGCCATCAAGCCGAACACCACGAGCAAGCTGAGGTGCATTAGCACGGCCAGTGCCGTGCACAGGCTGCCCTTCTCCGCGCTGAGCGCATTCTCGTCTCGTCCCTGCATCACGAGCAGAACTAGAACGGTATTCAGGATGAGTGCCAGCGATAGCTGCAGTGCTGTCTGCTGGAACGGCTTGGTGCGAAGCTTCCTGCAAGGTGGCACAGAAACAGTCAGTGTAAGGTTCACAAATCAAGTGTTGTCTACTGGTGTTACAGAAATCTATGGTCATAAACCAAGACCATCTTTCATTGGAACACAAGCAGTTTTAGAGACTCAGTACCACTAATTCATTCTCGCGAAACTAAAGCTGCACCGGAGTACAAGCTGCACCGGAGTACAAGCTGCACCGGAGTACAAGCTGCACCGGAGTACAAGCTGCACTCGAGTACAAGCTGCACCGGAGTACAAGCTGCACCGGAGTACAAGCTGCACCCAGCTTTGTCCTGATATATAGATATCTTCCCTATTTTATCACCGTTTATTTGACCATGTTAGTGGAAGTCGGACTTTTTTTGGGGTGAATTACTGGTGCTATAAGTGCGACTTATACTCCCAAAAATGCGGTGTGTGTAACATACATTTTATAAGGCTCCTGGAGATACGAATTTGACCAAAGTGTCATGCAGCATGTCTCTGATTTACTGTCTTACTTGAAGGAGAGAATAATGACAACGGTGGCCAGAAGGCAGATGATGCTCAGCGCGCTGCCTACGAATGTAATGATCGTCAGGGCTCTGCCTGCGTTGCCATGGCCACCAGATGTGATGACATCATCACGAACCTGCGTGTACATAGTGCATAGAGCATAGTGCATAGTACATAGTGCATAGTGCATAGTGCATAGTGCATAGTGCATAGTGCATAGTGCATAGTGCATAGTGCATAGTGCATAGTGTATAGTACATAGTGCATAGTGCATAGTGCATAGTGCATAGTGCATAGTGCATAGTGCATAGTGTATAGTGTATAGTGCATAGTGCATAGTGCATAGTGCATAGTGCATAGTGTATAGTGCATATTGCATAGTGCATAGTGCATAGTGTATAGTGTATAGTACATAGTGCATAGTGTATAGTGCATAGTGCATAGTGCATAGTGCATAGTGTATAGTGCATAGTGCATAGTGCATAGTGCATAGTGTATAGTGCATAGTGCATAGTGCATAGTGTTTAGTGTATAGTGCATAGTGCATAGTACATAGTACATAGTGCATAAAAGCCAGAGTATACGAAACCCAGAGTGTGCACCTCGGATGGGTTGCTGTCACGGCGAAATTCCGCAATTACTTCATTTTAGTGATGTTGTGCGTGCAAGCAGGATTCAAGCCGGTCTCTCTCTGCACCACTGCAGGTCAGTTTTACGCACTACACCACTTCCCACCTCAGATCTGCACCAAAACATGATGTAATCGCGGAATTTGGCCATAGAGAAATAGTCAGAAGCTGCAGACTCTTGGTTTCATGTACACTTGATGGAGGAAAGGTCGACTGGCACACATAATTATACAAAAACAGATCATTTCTACACTGAGCTAACAGCTACACTACCGAACACGTTGACCGCAGCATTGCCAAATATTCCACATAAAATACAAAGTAGGAGCAGCTTGGCAGTAATTGTTGCAACCTACATGCACAGGTCGGTGGAGTTCAATGGGCCCCACCACCACACTCCATTATTCACCCCAGTGTCTGGAGATATGTGGATTTTGTAGAAAAAAGAAGAAAAACCCAGTAAAACATACCCTAAGAAGACACTTTCGGCCTTAGTGCAGCGGAAACAGCCCTGACGTGACAGGACTCCGTTTTATGCAAGTTCAAAGAACAGCACGTCAGTGTATGAATATGTGTCTGGTCAATACAGGATTCCGCTTGGCACAGGGTCCCGCAAACAGTATTATAATATGCATCTTTACTAGGTGATGGCTATACAGCTAGTGAGGAGTTATATTTAGCCACTTGCATTTTTTTTAGCTCCCTCTCTTGCCTATACCCGCTGAGAACCAGAGAGATACCGAAACGATCTCGACCACTTATGAGTTGTGTATCCAGTCCCAACACTACAGAAGACACAATCGTGCCGCGTTCAGTCTGAACTAATCCAACGGACTATTTCGAGACTAGAAGCACAATCAATAGCCACCACTTACGAACAGCAGGGCGAAGTTGGTCAAGTGATCGCATTCGCAGCTTGTCATTCCTGGATTTTTGCCGGATGAGATGGCCCGACAGCCATCCTGCCTCCATGATTCTGAACACATAGCCAAAGATAACAAGAGAAAATCATCAGTGCAAGGATTTCAACCGATTGACCTTTCCGCATCCTTTTAAGAAATCCACCAACCTTTTAAAAGGATCAAAGTGCGGATCGCAACACGTGGCAAATGCGCTTCATACCAAACTTGGTGTTCGATGCTCTAATCCTACGGAAGGTTAGTGTGAGTGGTCAAGATTGGGACAGGAACAGTCCCCTAGCCCTACCAAGTTGAAATACTAAGCTTCCATGACACCAATTATTTTAATAATAATATTTTAATAATATTAATATGGCAATAAGCAGGACGAGCTGAAGCGACATGTGGACTACTTTATTAACAATGTAAGCGATGGAGACGATGCAAGAAACAACCTAAAGGGTAAGGAAAAATACATGTAAGAAGAAAAAGGGCAATGGAAAAAAAAGATGGTGTGCGCGTGAGTCGAGATTGTGTGCGTCCGTCTCGTAATAACAAGTCTTCAGTATACAATCATTTGGTTTCTAGTACTGACTGTTGTCGTACTTATTCTGATTCCTGTTTTTCTGTTTTGTGCCGTGCTCGTCATGGTTATCTTTTGCAGTTACAAGTTTTGGAAGCTGTTTGTCAGCGCATTCATAAGCCGAATTTGTGTGTCCAGAAAGATAGTGTTATTACCCTAAAATTGTTCAAATAATGTTCTGTTGTGTAGTGTGGCAACGTTGTTGCCACTTGTGCCTAAATGTGTTTTGTCACCTTCTTGTTTATTATTGTTATTATTATCATTCGTTCTCACTTTTTTTGTTTTTGTTTTTTGTTGCTGATACACACTTGTCACGCTTAGTTCTTACTTGTATACCCTTGTTTTCTGCACACTTTTGTGAGAAATCGCACCTCGATATTCTAGTGCTGTCATTGTATCGTGTCACCCTACCTTGATTGCTATATTATTTCCTTTGTTCTCATTTTGTTCTTTAGTACAACGGTGATTCCTGAAGAGTGTTGTACGAAAACTTGTTCGAATCATCTTTTTTTTCCATTGCCCTTTTTCTTCTTACATGTATTTTTCCTTACCCTTTAGGTTGTTTCTTGCATCGTCTCCATCGCTTACATTGTTAATAAAGTAGTCCACATGTCGCTTCAGCTCGTCCTACTTATTGCCATATTAAAATTATTGTCTCCTCGTCGAATTTTTAATAATATTAAAATATTATTATTATTTGAAAGTAGGACGGAGGCAGAAAATATTACAAAAAATGTATTATCTACGCATGCATCTACGCAAGAGTCACCACCAGCCAATTAGGACATGTGTCAAAG